TCTCTCTCTCTCTCTCCCTCCCCCTCCTCCTCCACATCTTTCTTTTCTTTTCAATATTAATAAGATTATTAAGAAGAAAGAGATTAACAATTTGATATTTTTTTTCTTGATACTAAAAACAAGAAGAGTTATTCTACATTTTTTTTATTTTTATTATACAAAAAAAAGAGTACTTTCTTCTAGAGTTCTTTAACTGGCTAAATTGGTTTAATAGTGCAATAAATTGTCTAAAAAATAACTCTATGGGGTAAATTGATAATCAGACTATAGTTTATGAGAGTAAAGTGATAATAATTTTAAGGGTTAAATGTATCTTTTCACTTTAATTAACAAACTCTGTTAAATTTGACCATTAGTCTTGGGAGTAAAATGACTAAAAGGGTTAAAGGAGAAATTGATAGTGACACCGAATGTTAAGAGGTAAAGTAATAATAACCCTATTAATAAATAACTAATGCATATTTCGATTCAGTAATGAATACGCAGCTTCATTGTTGTGTTTCATGTCACTAAATTTATTATTATTTTTTGTTAAAATAAGGCAGTGATAACAAAATTTTGAGCTGTAATCAGATATCAAGATTGAATAGCTAAGCGCTAGAAGAGGAAAAAAAAAACATACAAGCCATAATCATAGAATTACACTGAAAACTGATAATCTACGGGTGCAAGAGAGAGATTTTTAATGAAAATTTATAAAATTTCCTAGGAGCTAAAAGAAAATTCTCAAAAACTTGGGGGTGGCGTTTGCCCTTGCATACTATGCCGATTCTAAAGATCGGTGCATACCATGCATGAGAAGACTAGCCATTAAATTTCTCAACTACTAAGTCTTAACGAAATGATGAAGAGCCCGACACATCGCTGCGTTGGGGATCCCATACAGTCTGAATGCCGATAAGAAGGCATGGACTTGGTCTTCATGATCACCTTTTCCATCATAGAATGGAACATTTGGGAATTTGAAGTTTGAGGATGGTCGTTTCAGCCCGGATAAGCTGGGGCCTCACCCTGCAAGACTACTGGAAGTGCCACCTCGGCGCGTCATTTAGTGAGGTGGTCCTGACCCGTTTATCACCTCGGCGGAGATCTTCGGAGCGTGAGCCGAGGTGATGCCCAAACGACTTGACCACTGTGGAAAGATGATGTGACCCCTGACACATCTGACACTTGACGGAGAGCTGTTCTGACACATGTGCCGCCTGACTCTGATACCTGTTCCGACGCACCTTTTCGCAGGGATATCATATCAAATTTGATATAATATCCATATCAGATCTCTCGGAACCCGTGCCAGCAGTTCCTCTTCAAATCAATTCTCTATAAATACTCAACACCTCTACTGAGAAGGGGGATGACTAATTTCTGGTAAAACTATACTGATCTTCTCCACTATATTACTTTTTCACTACCGAACTAACTTAAGTTTCGGAGTTACATCGGGGGATTCAGCCCCTCCTGTAACCTAAGCAGGTGACCTCGTCCCAGTGCCTTGCCGAAGACAAAACATTTCTTCAGTTCGGAAGGTTCACCCAGCGGGACTAAAATCACCTCTTCAATTGGTGCCGTCTGTGGGAACGTGAAGATATTAGAATATGAAGCCTACACGTTCTAGGAGCAGGAAAGCTCTCACTATTGGGGCTGAGCAAAGCAATGTAGCTCAACAGGAAGATATTTCCGAAGGGCAGGAGTCTTCAAGGACTCAGCCCGCAAATGAACAAGCCATAACCCGTATGGTTGAGTTTGTAACCGAGAACCCCAACATCTTCGAGGAGTTAGGGAGGTACCTAAAAAGGCAAGGCAAGCAGAAGGCGGAGTCTTCTAAAAGGAAGTCAGATAGATCTCCTGAAGGTTCATCTGAAGAGGAGTCTGATGGAAGGCGCCTCAGCCGAAGCGCTTCAAAACGGGCATTTTCCAAGGCCACCTCTAAGGTAGCCTCCTTATCCAAGGCATTTTCCCGAGGGCTCTTGGGACGACGACCTAAGGAGGAACCTCGACCCCTAGGAAGGCCCGGGATGGACTACATGAGAGCCCCTCCTTTTACTGATGATATCAACGAGGAAAGGCTTCCTCCAAATTTCAAACTCCCCTCGATACAATCTTATGACAGTCGAGGTGATCCGAGAATCATATCCATGCCTTTATCTCGGCCTTTCGCCTATATTGCATCCCTGACCCCGTCATATGCCGAGCTTTTCCAGTGTTCCTCCAGGGGATAGCTCGAAAATGGTTCTGGGGTTTAGAACCTAGGAGCATCTCAACCCTGGGGGAATTAGTGGAGAGATTTCTCCATCGGTTTGTCTCCTCCGACCTACGACCAGGATCTCGGCTTACTTGCTGAATATGCAACAGAACCCAGGAGAGTCACTTCGATCGTACGTCCAGAGGTTCCATGAGGAAAGCGTACAGATACCTGACCCCAATGAGCAGGTTACCATTGCTGCTTTTATCCATGGGCTCGTTGCCGGGGTATTCAATACGGGGATCCACAAGAAGTATCCCCGCACGCTCCACGAACTATGGTTGAAGGTCGAGAAGGACATACAAGCAGAAGACCTCAACCGCATGAAGAAAGAGGTCCAAGCCGCTCGCCCGAGGGCTGACCTCCGAAGGGGAAAAGACGCGGGCCGAAGTGAAGCGGGGACAGGGAGTGGCTTCCAAAGCCCTAACCGAGATCGCCGCAGTGTGTTTGACAGGATTTCTAAGGGGAAGTCACCCATCCCCGAGTCTGAGTTAACTCCTCTGAACACCACCCGATCTTGGGTGTTATTCGTAATGGAACAGAACAATCTCGAGAAGGCACCTCCCAGGATGTTTGGTAGCAGAAACAAGAGGAACTCGAACCTCTACTGCCTGTATCACCGAGATATCGGGCATGAGACCGAGAATTGCAACGACCTCAAGAGGGAGATCGAGAACCTCATCAGACAGGGACACTTGAAGCAGTTTGTCCGCCGAGGTGGAAGTCATCAGCGTAATGATAACCGGCGTGATGGACGAGGTGACCAAAGCCGAAACGAAAGGCGGACGTCGAGAAGCAGCTGCCGACCCCCTGAGGAACCTAGGAAGACAAAAAGGCCTCCCCGAGACGGATCCTCAGGCCAGAGGTTAGGATATGGGTCAAACATTGCTGGAGTCATCAACACTATTGCCGGAGGTCCGACGGGAGGGGATAGTCAGAACTCCCGGAAAAGGACCTATAGGCAAGCTAACCCGGATCAAGCCGAGTCAAGTTCTCGCCTATCTAAAGTCATTTCTTATGGCCCCACCGATCTAGTTCCGGCTGCATCAAGTAGCCATGAAGCCTTGGTGATTGAAATACTCACCAATAACTATATTGTGAAGAAGGTCTACATCGACCCAGGGAGTTCGGTGGACGTTATGTATCTCCGCACTTTTGAAAGCTTTAAGTTGGCCAAAGAACACATGACCCCGGTAAGAACCCCCTGGTGGGATTCGGGGGACACATCGTGCATCCTGAAGGGATGGTGACTCTGACAGTAACTGTGGGGCGTCACCCCCGCCGTCGAACCATCCCAATCAATTTTGTGGTGGTTAAGGCTGACTCCCCGTACAACTTGTTCCTGGGCCGACCCACACTTAATGCTCTGCGAGCGGTATATTCCACATACCATCTGAGTTTCAAGTTTCCTACCCCCGCGGGAATTGCCGAGGTCAACAGCGACGTCTGCACTGCCCGGAAGTGTTATCTCGCCACCTTACAAGCAGCCTCCACATCGACCTCCGATGTGAGGTCCGAGAAGAGATCCAACATTCTCTCAATAGACTGCCTCGACCCTCAGCAGGCTGAGAAGGCTCCGAGGTTGGGGGCTGGAGATGAGGTGGAAGAGGTTTTCCTAGACCTTATGAAGCCGGAGCGAACGATCCGCGTCGGCACCCGATTGCCTGACCCGATCAAAAAAGGTATGGTGGACATCCTCAGAAAGTACCAGGACGTCTTCGCCTAGGTCGCAGATGAGGTCCAAGAGGTCCCGCATCACCTTATAGTACATGAGTTGAACGTCGATACCCAAATTCGTTTGGTCAAACAGAAAAGAAGGCACCTCGACCCTGAGCGCAGCCGAGCTGTCGGTGAAGAAGTGGACAAGCTCCTACAGGCAAAGATAATCCGGGAGGTCCAATATCCGACCTGGCTATCCAACCCAGTCATGGTCAAGAAGGACACCGGGGCTTGGAGAATGTGCGTCGACTTCACCGACCTAAACAAATCCTGCCCCAAAGACTGCTACCCGTTGCCCAAAGTCGACACCCTGGTGGACTCAGCAATGGGTTACGAGTTCCTTTGCCTTCTTGACGCTTTCAAGCGGTACCATCAGATTGGAATGAGTCAGGAGAACCAAGAGAAGACGGCCTTCTACACTGACCAAGGCACATATTGCTACACCACCATGCCGTTCGGACTAAAAAATGCCGGGGCCACATATCAACGCCTGGTCAACCAGGCTTTCAAATCCCAGATCGGCCGCAATGTTAAAGCCTATGTGGATGACATCCTCCTCAAGAGCCGGACGACCTCCATCTTCCTTTCTGACCTGAAAGAGGTCCTTGAGGTCCTACGGAAGACGGGAATGATGTTAAACCCCAAGAAATGTGTTTTTGGGGAAATTTCGAGAAAGTTTTTGGGTTACCTCATCTCGAGGCGAGGCATCGAAGCAAATCCGGATAAGGTGAAAGCGATCCAAGAAATGTCTTCACCTCGGTGCGTCCGTGACGTCCAGAGGCTGACAGGCCGGTTGGCAGCCCTGAACAGGTTCCTATCGCAGTCAGCTTCCAAGGCGTTGCCCTTTTTCAAGACTCTGAAGAAGGCAGATAGCTTCTTCTGGACTGAAGAATGTTAACAGGCCTTTGATCAGTTAAAGGAGTACCTACACCACCTCCCAATACTCACCTCGCCTCAGCCAGGGGACAAGTTGTTTTTGTACCTGTCTGCCGCGGTCGAAGCTGTGAGCGACGTGTTGATAAGGAAGGAAGGTGTTCAAATGCCAGTTTACTACGTCAACCGAATCCTCCGAGGTCCGGAGACCAGATACAGTCAAGCGGAGAAACTCGTGCTGGCCTTAATCCATACAGCCCCCAGGCTTAAGCCCTACTTCTTAGCTCACCACATCTGCTTGAGAACTGACCAACCCCTCAGGCAAGTTTTATCACGGCCAGAGGCTTCCGGACGTCTCACTAAATGGGCCATCGAGCTGGGGGAGTACGACTTGTCTTACGAGTCTCGTACCGCAATCAAGGCACAGGCCCTTGCGGATTTTCTCGCCGAACTCACTTTTGATGAGGTGAAGGAGACCACCTCGGCTGCCGCCGAGCTCCAACGTTGGATTTTGCATGTGGATGGCTCGTCTAATAGTGAGGGTAGTAGGGCGGGCTTACTCCTCGAAGACCCCCAGGGAGAGGTGTGTTCATACGCCTTAAGGTTTGACTTCGCCGCTTCTGACAATGAGGCCGAATACGAAGCAGTCATTGCCGGCCTACAACTAGCTCGTAAACTCGGGGCCGCGCACATTTTGGTCTATAGCGACTCCTAACTCGTTGTGTGCCAGATACTGGGCGAATATGAGGCCAGGGAAGAGGTGATGAACCGCTACCTCTCCAAGGTCCTCCAATTGGTGGCACATTTCGAGTCTTTTGAAATCCAAAAAATACCGCGGTCACAAAACAGGAGGGCTGATGCCCTCTCCGGCTCGCTTCTACCTCTTTTTCTGACCTGAACAAGACGGTTCTCATAGAAGTATTGGCCGAGCCGAGGTACAAAGGAGAGGTCGTGTACCCTATCTATCTTGGGGACATCTGGATGGAGCCTTTGATCCGATTTCTCAGCCAGGGGGAGCTCCCCGAGGACCGAGCTGAGTTGAGAAAGCTGCAGCGCAAAGCAGCTCGGTACGCTTTTGGGCAAAATCTCTTATACAAGAGGTCGTACCTCGGTCCTTGGCTGCGGTGCATTACACAGGAAGAAGGTAACAGAATCCTGCAAGACATACACGAGGGATTTTGTGGTGCTCACGTCGGCTACAGGATGCTCGTCAAAAAAGTTTTGTTGCTTGGGTATTTCTGGCCCACCATGAGGGTGGATACCCAGGTCATGGTCCTTAGTTGTCCGTCTTGCCAGTACCACGCCCCTGAGCACCACCAGCCGACTAATTTCATGATTCCCATCACCTCGCCATGGCCCTTCGAGCAATGGGGGACTGACAAAATCGGCCCATTTCTTAGAACTCCAGGCAACTACGCCTACGTAGTGGTGGCAGTAGATTACTTCACCAAATGGGTCGAGTCAAAGCCTCTGAGAAGTATCACCGGAGCAGCCGTTCAAAAATTCTTCTGAAAGAGCGTGGTTTATCGCTTCGGCCTACCCCGGGTGGTCATCTCGGATAATGGCCGGCAGTTCGCAGATAATCCTTTCAAAGCGTGGTGCGAAAACTTGGGAATCAAACAGCATTTCACCTCGGTTGGACACCCCCAAGCCAATGGACAGGCCGAAAACTTCAACCGCACTCTCCTTTATGGCCTCAAGACCAGGCTCCACCGGGTTGGGTCGTCCTGGATGGAAGAAATTTCCAGCGTGTTGTAGTCCTATCGACCCACGCCGAGGTCAGCAACCCAAGAAACTCCATTTTCTTTAATTTATGGGTCCGAAACTGTCGTCCCAGCCGAGTTCATCACTCCGAACCCACGAATGGCAGCGTACGCCGCTGAAGTTAATGAAGATGAACGGCGAGTTGACCTCGACCTCGCCGAAGAGAAGCGTGATATGGCTGCAGCCAAAGTCGCTCTTTAAAAAAATATCCTAACTGGCTACTACAATGCTCGGATCAGACACTTGCGGTTCAATCCGGGAGACCTTGTGCTCCGGAAGAACTCGGTCAGCCGAGCTAAACCCCAGGGTAAACTGAACCCCAAGTGGGAGGGACCATACCGTGTCGTTGAGTCCAGCCAAAATGGATACTGTAAATTGGCATATCGAGATGGATTTCGGGTGCTCCGAACTCGGCATGCTGAAAATCTTAAACTGTATTACCCTTGAAGGGTACGTACTTTTAATTTTAAGTTTTGAGTTATTTCTCACTTCTTCCCATTTCATTACAAGTGAAAAATAAGGGGACAACAGCAGTAAAGAAAAGAAAACCGAACTCAATTAAAAAGATTGCAAAAATATGAAGTCAATTGAATTGAAGCACAAGTACAAAAAGTAGAAGACCGAGGTCATGGAAAAAAGGGATGCTTCTAAGCATTCCCTGCCCCGGAGCCTTACTCCCCCATAGTCTCTTCTTCGCCGCCTCGGCGTCCTGCTGTCCCTCAGCTCCTCCGCCGGACTGATTCCCTTCAAGGCCATCACCGTCTAGCTCAAACTCCTGAAGTCATTTGTTGAACTCAACATGAACTTCGGCTAGATCTTTTTCAGCTTGGACGCCCTCGGCCATACGGTCGCACAGCTCCTTGGCATCTTCGTTGTAGTGAGGAGCGCTTTGAAGGGACTCCAGCTGCTCAGAAGAGAGAAAGGGCATAGCATCGTTAACAGCCGACGTGTAGTCGAACATAAAGTTTGGGCGTGTGAGCTCGCCGAGGTCGTGGGTGAAAAACTCCGACTTCCGGAAGGCCTCCACGGCAGTGACCCCGACCTTGTCTATTGCCTCCTTGGTCGACTGTTCTTTTTGGACCCTTCTCTCTCTCCTCATCAAGGGCAGTTATCAGGGAATTGTTCGCGACTTCGGCCTTCTTCTTCGCTGCCTCGGCTTTGTCGCGCTCCAGCTCGGTTGCCCTCAGCTTCTCTTCCAGGTCGGCAATCTTCTTCTGGAACTCGGCAGGTGGCTCGTAGTTTTTCATGAAATGTCCGTAACGTTGGATCATCTCAACAAAGAAGGCCGTGGTGGAGGCCCATGAGACCGAGGCACTTTGCATCAGCTCACCTGGAGTGAGCTTTCTGGCATAAGTGTTATCTCGCGGCAACACCGAATGCACCAGAAGCTCATGTACGACCAGGGGGTTCTTGCAGCGGTCATTGACGTTCACCTCCCACTCGGGACACCAATGTGCTCCGGAGTGCCTTTTGTCCTCCCCGGCCGCTTTGGAAGGCACATGGTAGAGGTTGAATAGCGAAGACCTCGTGACGGGGTTATCCGGGAACGCAGTCACGCCCTGACCCCAAGGTGGAGTGGCTATCGTGACCCCTCGAATAGGGACAGGAATAGCCGAGGCTCGGGAACCTCCGAGAGTGGTCGAGGTATGGGAGCCTTCGCCCACTATCACCACGGCAGGCTCGCGGTCGCCCGTAGCTGCAGTGGTGTTCTTGGCAGGCCTGGTGGAGGGTTCAGCAGCATCCTTACGCTTCTTGGGTGGTCTCTTCACCACCTCGATGTTTTCCGAGGTTATCAGGTCGGAAACCTTCACCACTGCATAGTGTGAAAAAGAGTTAGTTAGAATTCATGAAGAATAAACAAAAAAGGGAAATGGAAAAGTACAAGGTTTTTGAAACCTAGTAGAGAAGAAGACGGGGTGGTCCGAGCTGATCAAGACTCGGCTGATCCCGCCTTCTACGACCACCACTTCGGGAAAGTCCCAGCAATTAATCCTGAGGTCCGACCCCGTTAACTTCTGGAAGTTGCGCTCCTCTAACATGCCCGGGGACGTCTCTTTGACTGAGGTGGGAGGCCTCCACCAGAATCCCCGTGGGAAGTCTTCTGCCGGGACGAAGAAAAAGTTTCTTTTCCATTCCTTTATCGAGCTCGAGGCGTCTACCACTAACTTCGGAACTTTATTCCCGAAGTAAAACCAACTCTTCTCGCTCCCGCTGTTCTTAAGCGAGTAAGAACGGCAGAAGAGGTTGACAGTGGGCTCTATTTCCTGATGTCGGCAAAGCAGTTGAAAGCCGACGAGGACACGAATGGTATTCGGGGTGAGTTGAGTGATCCTCACCCCCCAATACCTCAAGCATTCCCGAAGAAACTTTGTTGTTGGCACTCTGAGCCCGGCCTCCAGTTGGTCCACGTAGATGGCCACCCTACCCTTCGGTGGCAATGCGGCTGACTGGTGTGGTTGGGGCAAATAGATGCTGTAATCCCTTCTCCAATGATACTTGCGGACCACCTCGGCTACGGAGGCTTGTCCCATAATACTACTGAAGGCTGGCATCTGGCCGTAATTAAGTGTTGTCAAGTTCGGAGGAGTGGAAGGCTCTTGCACGCCCTCGTCCCTAGGGACCTCGTTCCCGAGATCATCATTGTACAGGACCTCGGCTTCGACCTCGATCTCCTCGTGATGCCCTCCAGATGTTCCGGCTCGGTGAGACGCCTCGGCACTCCTTCCCCGACATCGGACGCAGTTCTCTCCTCGGAGGGGTCGGGTCTTTCTGCCTCGAGGAATTGCCGAAGTGAAAGGACACAGGAACAGAGCTCTAAGGTGATTTTAGATTTTTGGTAAAGAGTGAAACGGTGAAAAGGGGCTTCTATTTATAGGCACCCAGGGGGAAAATGAAGAGGCGGTATCTTTGAGATTCTCGAGGGCGCATTCTCTCTCTCCTCATTAATGAAAAGGCTGTTCGTCCTGCTGATCTCGAGCCTGTTCATGAACCTGCCGTCACGATTGACAGCCATCATGTCAGTTCCTCAGCAGTCCCATCCACATGGCCATGATTGCTGGATCCCGTGCCTTACACGCTTGTCAACTTCGGGAAGCAACGACCTCGGGAAACCACGATCTCGCCCTTCTCGAAGCTTGGGGGGCTTAGTGAGGATGGTCGTTTCAGCCCGGATAGGGTGGGGCCTCACCCTGCAAGACTACTGGAAGTGCCACCTCGGCGCGTCATTTAGTGAGGTAGTCCTGACCCGTTTATCACCTCGGCGGAGATCTTCGAAGCGTGAGCCGAGGTGATGCCCAAACGACTTGACAACTGTGGAAAGATGATGTGACCCCTGACACATCTGACACTTGACGGAGAGCTGTTCTGACACATGCGCCGCCTGACTCTAATACCTGTTCCGACGCACCTTTTCGCAGGGATATCATATCAAATTGATATGATATCCGTATCAGATCTCTCGGAACTCGTGCCAACAGTTCCTCTTCAAATCAGTCTTCTATAAATACTCAACACCTCTACTGAGAAGGAGGATGACTAATTTCTGGTAAAACTATACTGATCTTCTCCACTATATTACTTTTTCACTACCGAACTAACTTAAGTTTCGAAGTTACACCGGGGGATTCAGCCCCTCCTGTAACCTAAGCAGGTGACCTCGTCCCAGTGCCTTGCCGAAGACAAAACACTTCTTCAGTTCGGAAGGTTCACCCAGCGGGACTAAAATCACCTCTTCAAAGTTCGTTGGAAAAACTTCTTCGTTAATGTTAGGGGTGAAGGGGGCATGTTATCTCCGTAAAGGGTCGATCCGTATCTAGACCGTTCACTTGTGTCATCCCTCTTGAATGGGTTCTTGAGCAGTGCTCTCGAAAACTGAGGAAACTTTAGAATGCACTTTGCCTTGCAATTTAGAAAGGTTCTTTTCCTTCTTCCTCTTGGAGTATGTGATGGTCATCCGAGTCACCCTCGAAAGAAGACAAAGAAGACTCTTCGGGTTATCTCTGAACAGATTCGCCTCTATCCTTACCTTTCATATGCCTAACAATCTCTTCAAAAAACCCTGAACTGGAGGCCACAAACTTGGCCACTCGAGCTATGACCTCTCCATGAGGCTGTGAATTCTCTAGTATGTCCTAATCCCTTGGATTGGCTATACGGCTCCCAAAAGTTCGGGGGTTCTTGTTTCCACGATTAGAGCAAGTCTTAGTCATGAGAAAGTAGAGCAACTGTATTTACTTCACTTCCTACGAACAGTGCCAATTGTAGAGTCACGGTCGAAACTCCCAAGAAGACTGGAGATCGATGAACTCTAGTTCGGATTTCCTGTATGATATCAAAAGCAGAGATGGAGTATTCCCCCAATTTGGCTCCGATGCTTAACTTAGCAGGAGTTAACAGCTCAGACATAAGTTACATGTGAGAATTAAGAAACAGTTACCTCTGGGGTCTAAGAAAAGAGGGGTAATTATAGTGAAACGTGAGAGGTGTCCTTGGGTTTCAGGCCGCATTGATAGGGCAGGGTGCAGCTATAGGTCGACTCTAGATCTACTAGTGCAAGAGGTTAGACCTGCAAAAGCTTGTAATGTGTCGCATCAATCACTTCTTGTTATGAATGTCCTCGGCTCACTGGACATCTAAACTACAAGATGACTACTCAGATTCGAAAGTGTCCGGGAGAGATCATCTTGAGGAGGATGATTCTGGGTACCACACTAAGCATATGATGAAATGTCATCTTTAATGGCGAACAA